TAGGCGCAAACAAAGCAAATTCATTTGGGACCTGTTGGCAAAATGCACTCTCTGCCACACTCGCGACAACTCACGCATTTCCGTTTTAGGCGCAAATATTGCTACATAAATATTTCTGTGTGTAGTGTATCTGTAGGCCATTGCTCGAGCGGCAACTAACCGTATGTACATACATATATATGTATGTATATACACACATAAATGTATTTTTTCGTACATTTGAAGTTATTTTAAAAATTTCGTTTTCAGTTTCGATTCGCCTTCGAACGCGTTTGGCCGCGTTCACTATATCGACTGTGTGTACGAAATGATTGATGATTGATTGAGCGTGTGATCGCTACGATAGAGCGATGTAGAAGCGCACAAATAAATAAAAAAAAAAAGTATAACTAAATAAATAAGTAGACACTCGAAGACGCCAACGCCAATGCCGAGGATGTGTGATATGTGAACGTGAGTGGCGGCCACAAAACCAGACTACACCAGATACTCGTACTACAATAATGTGATTAACTTGCCTAGAGCGCACACTAGATTTTTTTTTCATCGTCTGTTGTCTGTTTAATTAGTTGTCGGCCGGTGTATGCATACGCGTGGCGCCGTTTTAAACGCGTGTTTGATTCGGGGCATTTTTTGGGAGTCCGGTTTGCAGACGAATAACAAAAAGGAGTTTCAAAAAGAAGAATTAACTGTATAAAATACAATATAAAAAAGAATATAAGAAGCTTCACACTAACAGTTAAACGGTAATATAGTAACCAAAAATCAAAACAAAAAAGGTTTAATAAATTATGAAAATAAAATAAACTTTAAAATATCAAATTATATTAAATATAATAAAAATAAATGAAATAAAAAATAAGTTAAGAAAAAGAAGATTAATAAAATAAATGAAACTAAAATAATATAGATAATATAATGACATAAAACAATATCAATTGGAATAAAGTAAAATTTTACTTTAGTAGAATAAAAACAAAAAAATTTTATTATATTTTTACAAGTCAATAATAGTAATAAGTAAACAACTTTTTGTTTATAAACACTCACAAATATGAAAATTTTGTAATTTAAATCCCTTTGTAAATCTGATATAGTACGTATGAGAGTATATAGCGCAACTACCTATGAAATTGATAAGCAGTGCTACTAAAAAAGAAAGAACAAGAGGAAGAAGAAGAGTTAGAATAGACTCCAAAACCAAATGTAAATACTACAGATTTGATAGTTGACGTGAGTTCTCAATTATTTTTGGCTGATCTTATGGATTTTCGTTTAAAAAACCTACAAAAATGCTCATTACACCTACAAAAAATCCGGGAGACAGCCTAAATCGAAAATCGTGAAGACGAAAACACTTTAGAAGAAACAAAAAAAAATAAAATATATAAAGATGCAGTTCTTTATAATTTATAAACATAAAAAAAAAAATAATAATAAAATTTACATATAAAGAGTCAAAAATTTAGTCAAATAAGATAAAAATTAAAGGTGAAATGAAAACAATGCCAGAAACACTAGAAAAAAAAATTGAACGCACAAATACACACACACACCTACATTCGCATGCAAAAGCATCACCGACTTTCCGAAAGGCAGACAACCTTAAACATACAGACATAAAAACAAACATACTAAATATATACACAATGGCAAGCAAACAAATACTGTTATAAATATTACACACTCACACACACTCAGGCCGTCATGGTGATGTAGGGGCGCTCTCTATGAAAGTAAAGATAAAATAAAACACTGCTCCCTCCCTATATTTTCATTTTCGTTTCGACATCGAGCAAATTTGTTTGCAAGTACGTTCACACATTCATACATAAATATACAGTTCGATTCATACACATTTAGTACATAATGGCATCAGTCATATTCCCCAACTACATACATATGCGCTCAACCTCAAATATACAAAATGTGCGCTCTTATTTGAGAAGTTTCTTGCATTTAATGTTAACTAAGCTCTCGCACGCTGTTAAATTGTCTGAATAGCTCAGAAGTAGGCCCTCTCTGCTATCTACAGTGTGAGGCTTGTTCTGCTCAAATGCAGGGAGAAAAGTAAATGACCACTTTTGAAAAGTTCTTCAATTGAAAGCCAAAAAAAAAATGAAAACAAAACAGTTTTAACAATTACTATTAATATTATTAAATATGTAAAATTGACGTTTTGGAACCACTAAAGCGATGTACGTACGTTCGAGCTTCTCCTCCAGTTAGTATTAGTGTCCTGATTTCCACCAATGGAAGGACCTACAGTTTATTCTAAGCCAACTCCGATCGGCTCATGGGTTTTAATGACGAGTGCTTTATTTTATATCAGAATTACACTTGGAGGATCAACACTCCCAGCCGAAGCGCAATTATAATTGGAACAAGAAAGAAGAACCGTTCTTGAAAAGTTCATTTTGGGGTTAAATACTATTTAATTCTCTTATTTGAAAGAAGAAGAAGAAAGTAAGAAAATGCGTGCTGTTATGTGGCGGGTCGTTGGTACGAGTTCTCGAAACCAAAATTATATGTAAAAGAATATTTCTGACATGAAATGGAAATCTATCTACAAAAATCCGCTCGGTGGCGCATTAGGAAAATTCGGTTCTCTTTTGCTTTTGCTTTTTTATTATCCGGTTATCCGACTATAGTCAGCTCTAGTAGGCATAGTAAACACTGCACAGAGGCAAACCACAATATACTATTAGCAACTGTTGCCAGTGAGAGTGTTCATTCTTACTTTTACTTTGCTGACTTTGGCACTCTCTCTTCTAACTGTCGTAATAAGCACTTTCATTGAATTTAAGAGTATATTTAATGTTGCTTGCTTACACATAGACAGCTAGAGAAGAGCTGATATAATGTCCAAAAAAAGAGGAAAATACTAAAGTGGCCACAGAAAAAGCCGGCAAATGTTGGGTAACTAAACAGAGACATAAGACTATATGAAAGAACTCAACCAGTTATTTTTGTTACGAGTATATGAAATTACAGTGCAATGTGCTCACTTCGAAGGACGAAAAGTATAAGTTGTGTAGTAATTTATTTACACGTTTTTATAGAAATAAAAGATGAATTTACAGTCGTCTTTCCTCGTCCTTGTAACGAGTGTCCGTCTTTCCCCATCATCTAGGTGACTAATTTGTTAACAAAACACATCTCCCTCGCTCTCTGAACATATTTTGGTTGTGTTTTCTTTTGTGCACATTTTTGGAGAACAGTAAAAAATCGTGTCTTTTTGTAGGAAGCCAAACTCAAAACCAAACGCTCAAAAGCTTACATACATGCTTACATTTCATAACCATATACTGTATACGCGTTTTATCTTTCTACGTTGTGCCTCCAACATCAAACGACAACACAAGTCATCAGCGTAGACTTCGTCGTCGCTTGATTGTGGGGCCTGTTCTGTTGTCCGTCTACCGGCCCGGCCCGGCCCGGCCCGGCCCGGCCTGTCTGTCTGCCAGTTAGTTAGTTACGAGTTAGTTAGGCATTCAATGTTGCTGCTGCTCAACGCTTTGTTGCTCCACACTGCGTTGCTCTGTGTACCGCTCTGCGCTGCGCTCCATGGCACTCCGTTCTGCTCTGACCCGCTCGGTGTTTCGCAGTTCGCATATTTAATATTGGTCGCAAATACAATTCGCAATTATTCAATCGCGAGCAGCATTGCAGTGCGGATCCCCCAAAATTCAGCTTCAAAAACGTAAACGTACATATTTACATATGCGAGCAGTGGTTTTTGGACTTCGCTCTACATAATATAGAGATTTTATTTGACATTTACGGAGTGATTTCGAGGGTTTATGGTTTTACAAGCGACGCAGTGCCAGTGTTTTGTGTTTTTATTGAAAATATCTGAAAAAATTTAAATTTTTGTGTGTGAAAAATTTTGTTTAAAAAATATTAAATTGGTTAGTAAAATGCAAAAAAAAATATTAGTAAAATATTTACAGTGTTAAGTTTGATTGGGTTTGGCACTAATTAATAAAAACTTAATTTTTTTATTAATTTTGCGCATTTTTCATTTTATAAAGTGTTCAACTAAATAATTAAATTATAATGAAATGATTAAATTATAAAAAAAATAAAATAAATATTTTTTTTACAAATTTTTTTAATATTCTTTATTACTCAAGTTATTTGAATTTTTTTTAACAAAGTTTAACTCTTTACCATAGCAATTTTTGTTTATTTATTCATTCTTCATGTATCTATTTACATACACTTTTCTGTATTTACTTTTTCGTTTCTTGAAATCCTTCTTCACTATGAATTAAATAGTAAATTATTAAAAGAATCATTAAATTATTTGTTTTACAAATAAAAGTAATATTATACTTATGTATATACATACATATGTATTGTATGTACATGTGGACATAAAAAATATTTCACAACATCCATACGCTGAATTATTCGCAATCAAAGTTCTTAGCGTTTTTGTATATTTTGGTTTCTGGTTTTGTGCATTGCCTTCAATAATTTTCGGCTTGTGTATACCATGTTGTATTTGTACTGACGGATTTTTTCGTGTTTTTTTCCAATGCTATTTTTAAGTTTCTGACGCTGTGCGACAAGTTGTTTGGAAAAAATTTAACACAAAATTGAAAAAAAAAAAATTAATTGAAGTGTGTTATATACAAAGTAGTAAATGAGCATGTACAGTAATAAAAGAAATATATGTTTTTGTATGTAATCTCGTAAATGAGTGGAGGAAATGCGTAAATAATTAAAGAAATTGGATTTTGGTTTTGGTAATGGAAATTGAATTAATAATGAAATGAAAATATTACGTTAAATATATATGTATGAATATTAATGCATAAAATTATAATAATATCAACGAAAAAATGAAATCAGAATAAAATTAAAATATTTTTAATTAAATATGTACTTCAAAAAAAAAAATAATAATAATAAAAAATAAATCTTTAAAAAGTGATATTTACAAATAAAAAACAAAGCATATTTAAAATGAATACAAAAAAAAATAAGAAAAATGAGCCAATAAATAAGGCATAACAATTAAAAATAAAAAATAATAGTTTATCAATATTCAGTGTAATTACTTTGTATGAACTAAACGAAAACAAAAAACCAATGAGAAAATAAAAAAATATATTTTAACTTAATTTTTTGCATTTATTTATTATGTTTTATATATTTAATTCAATCAAGATTGCATTACGTTAAATAGCTGATTAAAAACCTTAAAGAAATATATATAAAAAATAAATAGTTAAAGCCAGAAATTAAGCAATTAAAAATACAATTATTTTACCAATACAACCCCAGTGAAAATATAAAGCGTAGTAAATTTGACAAAATACTACAAATATAAATAATTAATTAATGTGAAAATAATTAATTGAATAATAAAATTTACTCGAATAACAAAAACAACTGTTGCATTTATTGACGAATCTGGGTGAGTAAAAATATTGCGTATTTATCCAATACTAAATTTTAACGATAAAATCGAGGTTGTAAAATAAAATAATTAGTATGTAATTTTCTAAGAGCAATTTTATGCAGTGATCTCATTTACAATAACAAATAATAATTTTACTATTTTTTTCTTATTAATAAATATTGTTATAAAATATATATAATTATACATATCAGAATTAAAATTATTAAAAAAAGGACGGTATTTATAAGGCTTACGCCAGTTGAGATACAAGGCTATAACCATTTTTTTTGTATATTAATTTATGTTTATTTTTTCTGGTTATGAATTAATAACATAAAGTACAATGGGGAAAATAAAAACTATAGTTAGAGCTAAGAAGCAGCAGAACTTAATAGAAAAATATGTTAGCCAGCATCACAACAATTTCTAAAAATGAAATTTAGTCGTTTTTGTGAAGGAAATTTCGAGTTTCTTTAGAAGATATTATTGAAGTCTTTAACTTCAAAAAAAGTCTCCATATGAATTTCATATACCTATATGTATGTATATAAGTTTGAGTTTATAATTGAATTCAATTTTATTATTATATTCATTTAATTTGGTTTAATTCAGAGCTTAAGTAAAAAAACTCATAAGGACAGTATTTAATATTATTTAAATTTTTCTTTACTTTTCTCATCCCTCGGCCTTTGTAAATATTTTTTATTTAAAGTCTGCCGCTCAATGTTGTTTAATTATAAACGTAAAAATCATTTCATTTTCCATTTTCCTGCAACTAACCTAAGTTGTTAGAAAATTTATATTATGCAGAGATTTCGTAAATTTCACGGTACTGCTCGAGCTGCTCGGAAAAAATGAATATGTTTAAAAAAATCAAAAATTTGAGCTGGCAGTTTAATTTCATTTCAAGGTAAAGCAATCGTACGTTTATAATGTTGTAAGTTTCTTCAAAGGGCTGGACATTTCAGCGCCATCCATACTCCATACACTTTTAGTCAAGTCTCATCCACAGTTAATAACTCGAGCAGCCATCTAATACACCTAACGCTCAATTGTAACTTCCGTCTAGAATGAATTTTTCAAAATTTATGCACACAGCTTTCAATGGCGAAATATTGCCAGCTGCCACTGAGTAGGCACTAATTTACAATAGATCACAAATCAAATTTACGTGAGCTAATATAAAGGCAGTTACTTATTTAAGATTTATTAATAAATTTTTATACTGGCAAGCTTGTAGTAAAAGGGCCCACAAACAGCTCAGTCGGCTCTACGGCGAAATCAAATCGCTCTGTGGTTGTCTCTAACGGGGGCATATGACTTCTGATTTACACAGTGTTCGCTTAAGAGAGGCGTACCAGCTGAGTCGGTATGTTTTCAGCTAACTGAGTTATAAGCGCGGCGAAAAAATTTCGGGCACTACTTAGTTTGCAAGAAAAAGTTAGGTATGTGGAGTTTATCCTGCGACAGAGAGCTCCCTTAATAAACTCTTTCAATGAATTTCGCTGCAATGTTAGAAACTTTTCGACTGCAACTGTTACTCCAACTGATACAAAAAGACTACAAGTTAAATTAAATTAAAGTTTCCTTAGCATCAAGACAGAATTCTTTTTCTCAGGATTTTGGGAACTTAATCCGCTTACAATAGTCTTAAAAGAACAGAAGCTAGTTAAATTCAAAATGTTATTTGAACTTATAAGATGTTAGAATTTTGAAACAAGTTTCCAATAACTTTAACTAATCTTCTATAGACTTAGGTGTATCATAAACTCTCAAACATAGTACGCCATATTGAAGAAAACGATTCTCCTAAAAAATTATTTGTTTATATTTTATTGGTACCAACATGTTTTGGAAGAATGTGCCCGCTAACTTTCTGGGACCGATTCACTCTGCTTATTGGGCTATATCCTTTAAAAATTTTAAAATAAAAAACAAATATAATTTATATAATAAAGTTTCTTTAATGATCCTTATATATCAAAAAACAAAGATTTTTTTGTTTTTGAAAAAAATAATAATAATTAACCAAACGAATATTTGCCCTTTATAAAACATACAATAATTATGTGAGTTGTATGTAAATTGTCGAAGATAAAAACTTGAGCAAACATTTACACTTATTAATATATATGTAGGTGGGAACGTATCTTATTTATTTTACAACTGGGACATCATAAAAATTTCTTCAAAAACTTTAAAAGCTACAAAAGAAGCAACAAAAACAAAAAAAAAGGATTCTGCTTTGACCTAATTTTGCATACAAAAATGCGAAAGTGTACAAAAAGTACATAAAGCATTAAGCACATGCATCTATATGTAATACCTACGACTATATATGTATGTATGTATGTCCATAAGCCTGCAGCTACTTTCGTATATTACGAGCAGAAGGTAAATATGTATGTAGGTGCCTTTTTTTAAACATTAACAACTTCATCACGTGCATATAATATACATAAATACTAACATACAGCCATACGTAGGTATGTAATTATGTATATTTTTGTTAAATAGGTATACAGGTATGTGCCCCAAAAAAGTGACACTTTCGAAAGAAAGAAAAAATTGAAAATAAAAGTCAAAGGCATCTTGTACTTTCGTCGTCGATCGAAGCTGCAACCCACTAATTTGTTCAAGAGATTTACATCGAAATGAGCACAAAAGCAAAAACAAAAAAAAACGAGTCTACAATGCCTGGCGGACGAACCGACGACGGACCAACAAACCAACCACCTTTACGGCTGCGCAACTCGGTGATTTTTTTGGGTGAAAGTGAAATTAAAAAAATTAAAAAATTTACAGAAACTTAAAAAAAAACATACAAACATTTTTCCAAAAAAAAGTAAAAATATCAAAAATACTGCAGCGTCAACACGTGTATTCAAGAACAGAAAAGAAGGTACAGTTTTAATGTAATTTAATTGAGAGAAATTGAAATTTCGCACAGGCATAGCATACATACATACATTACTTGTACATAATCATTTCAAAGCAGTCATAAAAGGCACGACACAAGTATTTAACTGTATATATATCATGCGAGTACGTGTGCTTGTGTGTGTTAAGAAGAACAGCGCTTGGAGGCAAAACGCTCAACATTGAATATCCATTAAGAATTCATGAAATGTAATGACAAGTATTGTACATAATGTATTGTATGTGCATGTATATGTATGTATGCATGTGTGCGTCTGCACTTCAATTGGAAAGAAAGTGTAAATTCAGAAAAAATACAATCTACAGCGGCCAGCGGATCTCAAAAAGTGAAAGAAAGTAGAGTAAAAAATTGAAAATTCCAATTCAAGCTGCTTTAAGCTTAATTCAATAAGAGAAGATTTTTTTTCAATAATGAGATTTCAAAATAATGCCTGTGGGCGTAATGATAACGGGTTTGACAACTCATGTCGTTGATTCTACGTCAGGCAATATATTCCCTTGTATAAGCAAGCATACATACATTCATATATCTCTTTAACGAAACCTGGCAATCATTTCTAGCATCTGGTTGGTATCGCATGTACATAACCATTCAATAAAACGCATAAAATTTCATGCTTTGGCCAACAATTCAGCTTAATTATAAAGATAAGAGTTTGCCGTTATTTTCCAAAAATGTATTTGGGCAAGTGACCGCCACGGAATAAGTTTCGACCACTTTTTGCAGCAATTGGCGCTGTATGTCAGCAATAACGTGTCGAATATTCACTTCCAAGGCGCAAGTCCTCTGGGAGCCATTTGCGTAGACAATTGACTTCACATAACCTAAAAACATAATGCGCCCTACTTCATAATGCGCCCTCCTATAGCATTAACTCTAACAAAGTGCCATTTATATATATAATAATAATATTATATGTACGATATATAGGTAGCGGCGTCTCAGAAATGCCTAGTTTATAATCATATCACAAATTACGACAATTTGGTTTATCAATTTACCCATTCAACTAAAAGTGAGCTTCATCGCAGAACATAGTTTTCTAGAATATCGAGATCGGTGGCCATTTCGGTTTGAGTCCATTCAGCGATAGCGTCTCCGGCGACGCCTCTGAGAATGTGCGTTATCCGCTAGAGTAAACGTGTTGCGAAACTGATCCCTGGTTGCTTGCGTTACCCAAACTGTTCCAATAATAACTAAGTGTTCCAGATGCTGATTATTGACTCAAAGCACAGAATTTCTGACAAAAAAAAATCTATTAATGCATTTTTGGATTTTTTTTCATATTTCGAAATTTTACCTTTTGTAAACATTGATTTTTTTATTTTAATTAAATAAGGGAACAAATTAGGATGAGAAATTGAATTGGATTTTATTAATTTTAGAAATAATTACTTAGAATGTTGATTCAAGTAAATAAGTTATTTTCTGAAGTTGGGATAACGTCTCTTTTCTCTGGCAACATCTTCTGGAGATATTCAGCGGTTACTTATATTCATACACAGCGCCCTCTACTGTTTTCGGTAAATAAAAATTAACCGACAGTAATTTAATATAATTACTTTTCAGTTAAAAAAATAAGCCACATATATTTATTTGATGACATGACGATATCTGCGTGCGCCACGTCGTATGACTTACCAAATTGCAGTTTACAGCTTCGGTAGTAGTACTGACTGAAACGACCGATACCTAGAATCAAGACGATGGCGCCAAAAAGGATATATAAGCACTTAATTACAACAAATAAAACTATTCTCTCAACCTTTTTAAGTCGTTGTTTAATCCTTTAATTCACATATGCATACATATGTATGTTTGTTTGTACATACGTATTAACATTCCAAAGCAGAAGTAGTTTGATGTGTTCACGTGCGTGGCATATTAATGAGTGTAGAAATAAATAATAAAAGCGAAAAGAAAATAGAGCACAATTGAAGTGAAGTCTAAAAATAAAAGTGAAGCAATTGTCAATGTTGGCCGAAAATTTATATGTACGTACAGACAAGCACATAATACACATGTTCATATACATATAAGATGTAAAATGATGGACATAATAATCGACATGATA